ATAAATGTAAGTACAAGAGTATTTTTCTTCATTGATCAGTAATTACTTGCCAACAAAATGAATTATTACGTGTGAGGGAAAACCACAATTGAATTACTGCGATCTTAGCAGTCCTGCAGTGTGTTTGTGTTGTCTTAATCATCACGAATGCAAAGGTTGGTCTGTCAACTGAATTGTTTATTTTATATGTAGGCTTTACAGTCTGCTCTGTCTACAAAGCACTATCCCGTTTTATACTTGGTCACTGCCAGTAACACTCTCCAGAAACCCCAAGGTGTGCAGAGACAGTAGAATCTCTACAGAATACTTTGTTTTCCCTTGTTTACTGCTATCTCAGTAAATTAAAAAAATTTGAACTTGTACTGTGGCCTTTTGACTACAATACAAATGAAAATGTTAATGTAAATAAATAGCTCTCCCTTAGCTGAAGCTCTAAGGTTGTCCAAAGCCTCTAAAAGATCCATTAAAGCACTAAAGTACCTGGGAATGCCTGGCAGCAGATGCCTGGCTAATGTTTCTTGCTTGTTAGAAAGCGTGTGTGTTACTTAACCTTTTGCATATTTATATAAGAAGGGAAAATACAAACTTCAGTGGCACCTCTGCAGCTGCTTTTAAAAACAGCCATATAAACCCAGGCTGTGTCCTTGCACTGCAGGCGTAGGTGTGAGTTAGAGGAGCTACAGTGCTTTTTTTACAGTAAAAACTGTAGTGGTTTCACTGCAGCAAGGAGTTTATGTCCAATTTGGAGCCCTGTTGTACTGCTGGAGAGCTTTAGAGAAATGCAGGTTGGGAAGAGAAGCAGGGCCTTAATCTTCACCCAAAGTGAGCACAGCTGTTACAGCTGTCTGTGTGAGCAGGGAAAACTGGCAGAGCCAGTGTAATTTCTGTGTCAGTGTAACTTTGGGGCAGAGATTGGCAAGCATTTATTTCTGCAGCAAGGCCACACCTGATGCTACCCATGTTCTTACTTGTGCTACTGCAACTGTTCACATGGCAATTGAGTGGTGTAGGTCAGAAAATTTGATTCAGGTGAAAAATAATCCAGGGTGAAACTTTTTCCCCATTTTTTTTTCACTCTCTGATGTAGTGTGTTGCATAGTTTTGACAAGGTAGGGGAAGCTGTGGTGAGAGAACAGAAACAAGAGCTTGAATTAGGCTGGCACTGCCTCTGAAAGAACCAGTTGTTGAACTAGAGCCCTGAAAACAAATGGAATAAGATTTCCCCGAGTTGTAAAAATGGTGGCAATTTTTTGAGTTTTATTTCCCATGATCTGTGGTATCATCCAGACTGAGCTGCAGTCAGTCCACCTGCTTTGCTCAGTGATGGGAAGTCACTTGGGTACAGTGATTATGTCAGGGGTGGATGACTATAAATGTTATTCACACACTGATGTCACATTGTGCTGGAGCTCTTGTCTCTTAAAACCTCACCTAGATCTTGGCAAGTTGGCTTGGATTTTGTCACCCCATGTATGTGAAGTGGATGAAGGAAGGGAAATCAGAAATCTGAATGATCTGACTATTTAAACAAATGTTGTGGAAGAAAACAAGTAAATCCATGTTTACTGTGTGGAAACAAATCTGACTTGAGTGTGTAGTCAGTGTAGGGGCTCTTTCTGAGCTCATGAGTTCTGTGTGGTCCTTGTGCTGTACTGCCAGGAAATATCAATACACTGCTTTACCTCACATCCAGAGTGGTTGACCTTGTGCCCTTCACGATGGTTTTGGTACTGCTGCTGCCTGTCCTGCTGTGACCATGAAGGGATTGGGTTGTCAGCCCAGGGCATTTGCTTAAAGATAGATTTGTGGGTCCTTTTAGCAGGGGACAAGCATTGGCTGATGGAGGCACCTCTTAAGGGCAGCATACAGAGTCCAAGAGATCAAACTTTTCACAGTGTCTGTGTCTGTGTGCTTAGACTGGTACTCCACATACACAAGGATATCCCACAGCTTCTGCAGAGACAGCAGTGTCACTCCTCACAACCAAAGGAGACTTTTCTACAAGCAGGTATTGACTTCATGATGGGCAAAAGATTGAATTATTTATTGGTGCAAGCCTGCAGTTGTATGTCATGTTCATTTTAGCACTGAGTTGAAGCTTTCTTGACCTGTATTCGGTGTAATTAAAACCAAATCCCTGAAATCCAAGGACTGTTTGGAAAGGATTCGGTAATGCTAAGGCAATGTGTACAGACATGTTCTCATGCCTGCCCTAACTGCATAGATTTGGTTGTAGGAGCTGGGCTCCAGCACTTCACTTCCACTGATTTGACACAGTCTACAAATTGTGGAGTTTCTAAACACCATGAAGGTTATAAATTACTTAAAGGAAATAATAGTTTATCTTCACTGTGAATGCATTATGCACAATTTTATTACATTTCTGTTAAAATAAGTTGAGATGTATTTTGCTTTATTTACACTATTTTCAGGCTGTTTTCCTTTTGCCTAAATGAAACCATTTTGATGCTCTTGCTTGTCTGGCTGGCTGTAAACCAGGTATTTAAACAAAAATAAAGAGTTGCCAGTTTTGCCAGCTGGGGATGAGAACCCGGCTGGTGATATGCGGGTTTGGGAGGCAGTTAATCCAGCTTTTATGCTTTTTTATGATTTTATGTAAAAAGAGGTTAAAAATCACATTTGGCTCTTTCTTTGTACCACTGTTTTGTTGCTGTTGTGGGAATGCAGCAAAAGGTTGTTCATACTTTTTATTATTATTAGGTAAAGTCCTGCATAAATTACGTAAAGCTGCAAATACAATTTGCTTTAGCTATTGGCCATGTGATTTGCCTTGTTCAGAGAACGATGTTTTATTTTCCTGTTGCCTTCTTTTATAAACCACACATGCAAGCCACACCTCAGCTTACTCGTAAAAAGAATCTACCACTGTCTCACAATTTTTATTATTTTGCTAGTTTCAAAAGAATAGACTAACTGTACACATGAGTGAAACAGTAACAGTGCTAATAGCTATAGCAGAAAAATAAATAATGCTTTTATTCCGTGGCAGAAGAAATGGTGATTTAAAGACAAGCATCACAGATTTCATATACAGTTTTTCGGCAAATAGCTTGCAATATGCTCCAACTCATAAAACATTTAATTAATTTTAAAATGCAGGAGTTATTTTAGTTAGTTTTGTCATATGTACTTATTCAGATAATTTGTTGTATTTTACACTTTCCAAAATTTCACCCTCTATTTGGAAATATCAATGATGTAATGAGTCTGTTTGTTTTGGCACAGTTGTAAATCATATGTGTTAATGTGTTAATATTTATGATTTTTAATCTTATATACACAAGAAGGATTTTTAATATACTTCTTTTCACCATGTTTCCACTACTAATCCTTAAGGACAGTGAAAAGTAGGAGTATGAAGGCATTAATTACTGTGGGATTTCCAAAATTGCCATACTGGATCAGAGTGCATGCTGCTTCTGCTAACAGCACATCCCAGACACTTCAAAGGAGGCTTGGGTTTACTGGGGGAGCAAGAGGAGAGGCAGATAAATGAGCCCAACACCCTTCTATTATCCATTTTACACAATTGCAAGATAATCTATTTATGGATAAAGTTATCTCTGACCTTATAGAGGGTTGCCTTTTTCATTAAAGACTGAAAGATTTACTTTCACTACCAGGTATCTAAATGCCTGTTCCTGTATGTCTGCTTAAAGTTTGAATCTGGAGAAGCTCTTTGTGATGGTGATTGCACATGTCTGTGTGTTGCAAAAAGTATTTTAAGTATTCTGTTTTCTGGGGATTAGTTTGTTGTTGGTTTGTTCTTTCTTTTTAAAATCAATCATAGGGTGCTGCCTTTCAGAATCTGCCTTCTGTGATACTGTAGCAATTCTCTATAAAGAATTATTTACATTCTTTACAAATGGATTTCTACTCTATTAGTTGCATTTATCTGATTTTTCTGTTTGTTATTGTTCTAAGGTTTTTTGTTTCTTGTTTTAAGGTTTTTTGATAGCTCTTTTGCAGGAAATATTTGCTGCTTGACACACACAGTCATAGTGCCTCCTGTTTTAAGATTTCTTGATTTCTGTTTCATCTTTTTTTTGTACGAAGGGTCATGATCTACTAGGAATTAATAGAAACTGGGATTATATATTCAGTAACCTTCAATTTCCTTATTGCTTGTGATTTTTATGGGTGAATGCTGCTATTATGTTGTCTCCATATCTGCAATTTAATAGGAAGGTGTATTAAGGTCAAGACACACTGCTTAAATTTCTTATTCCAGTTCTCTGGTACTGCTGGGAGAAGGGCTGTGGAATAAATTGTTTTGAGGTTCACAACATTGGTGACATTGTGTTAATAAATTGTATAAACTTTACCAGTTTCTGTGTTTGCATAATACCCTATAAGCATAGTTTCATAGTAAACATAGCATTGTATAAACACTGCCTTTTTTTTTTTTTGCATTGGCACAGTTCAGCTGTTAGGATTATTTAATGGAATGTAATGAAACTGGCAGGAGAAAGGCATTGAGGACTTTTGATGTAAACAAAGATCATAAAGAAACTAAACTTGCCTTAATAAAATTAAGGCAGTTCTAAATTGAAGACTTTAGATAGGTGGGGTAAAAGAGAGGGAAGTGACTGAGCAAGCAGATGCTTCACACTTCTAACTGAGGCGTTAGTGCCCATGTAGTACCTGTAGATAGTGTCTCTTCCTAAAGCTGTGAATGATGTAAATGGCCTGGTAGAGTACATAGGAAAGGGTAAAAAGAAGTCATGATTGTTTGGAGCAGGTCATTGTCAAGTTTTAATTTTGCTTTTAGCAGTGCAGTGCTTGGTAAGCCTGGAATTTCAGTGAGCTCAGGGGTGTGAGTCAGTGCTGCAGTTTTGAGTCAGGTTCTGGGAACCCTTTTAGCATACCGTGAAAATAAAATCTCAGAAACATATTCATATAGAGATGCATCAAACAGACTGAAGTGATGGTGTATGAAATAGTTAATGTCTTAAAGATGCTTTTGGTTTCTGTCTCAGGTGTTAGAAGATAATGACTATGGTCGTGCAGTGGACTGGTGGGGATTAGGCGTTGTCATGTATGAGATGATGTGTGGAAGATTACCCTTCTACAACCAAGATCATGAGAAACTATTTGAACTGATACTAATGGAAGACATAAAATTTCCTCGAACTCTGTCTGCAGATGCAAAATCATTACTATCAGGCCTACTGATAAAGGACCCAAATAAGCGGTAAGTGAAATTAATTGGCTGTACAGGCGTAATAAATTCTCTAATTGTGCTGGGTAATATAAAAATAGGTCTGTGGTGCCTGATCTTCCTGGCTGAAGGAGCTGTCAATCACAGGAAAGGGTCATACACAACCCTACAGTCTCAGATTTTTTCAGTCCAGGAGACACTTACAAAATGAATTCAACCAGGGAAAGGAAGAAAAGCTTGTGGAAGAGAATCTTTCTAAATCATTCACAGCAAACACAGGGATCTCTTCAGGTTTAGAATGTGTACTGGAACAAAGGGAAAGATCTCAATTGTTTTGCCCAGTATAACTTACCCCTGAGTTCACTGCATTGTCCCAAGGGGTCTGTAGCACTTTTCTTGGTGATCATGGCAGGAGAGATGCATAGACAGCCACAGCTACATTTATTAGGGCACATAAATAAATCACATATTAGAGCATTAAACTAGTAATTTGTTAAAGAATACAACTGGAGAAATTTAAAGAGAGTAGTTTGAAAGCATCACCCAGCTGCTGTCTGTGCCCTTTTGTGGTGGGCTTTTCCCTCTGGTACTGTTGCCCAGGAAAGCCATTTTCCTGTGGCTCCAGTACTGGACCAGCAGTGTCCAGTCTTCTGTGGCTCTCAAATCTGTGACTTTGTAAATCAGTGGGATTCATCTGTAGGTACCTTTTGTCCCCTGCAATATCTTTGTCATTCTTGTGAGTCTCTTGACATGTTTTAGGGTAGCAGACATTGTCTGCCTCTCTTCTCTAGTTCTCCTTCAGCTGCTGGTTGTTCTCAAGAAGTTTTGAGTACACTCAGGGCAGTGTGCTTTGTTGACACACTTGTATTTCTCCAAGGGACTTGCCTGGATGCAGCCAAGTGCAGCAGGCAGGACAGCACAAGTGGTTAGCTTGTCTGCTCCAGCTGAACTTACTGTGTGCAGGAAAAGCAGACTGTGACCAGCCAACCAAATACAGGCAGAGTAGACTAAAACTGTGTTTCTGTAGCAACTCCTAATGCTTTTTAACCTCCAAAAAATCTGACCAATCAAATATATTAGCCTTTAGAATTGGAAAGATGCTTTCTTGTAATTAATCTTTGCAGACAGTAGTGTTTATTACAGACTTATATTTAGCAGCTTATTTATATTCAAGTTCTTGTGCTAGCTAATTCTAAATATGGGAGGAACACAGAGATTGACACAACTCAGCTTTTTTGTGAGCAACTAGAAGATATGGAGAGAATATCTCTATTGAAAGAAGTCTGGAGACTAAAGGCTAACTGCCATGTTTTGCCAAGATGTAGAGAATTTTACAATGAGTAGTTGAGAAACAAGGAGGAATACAGCTTGAAAATTAGAATAACTTTACACTCAGTTATTGCAAGACTGACGTAGTAGTCCAGAATATTTTTGAAATTTGGCAGCAGGGTAGTACCAAAACAGACATTTTTTTCTTGGTTGTGGAAATTATTCCTCCTTACAATAAATGCTTTAGAAAGGAATTTATCTTACTTAAATGCTTGCCTTTAGATTTTGTCCTTATATCTTTAGCAGTAGCTTTTAATGAAACATGCACTGTTTTTGTCACTCTTCTTGTTAACATTTAACATGTATGGTCTGCTTATTTATTTAAGAGTAGCTGTTTTCTGCTGCAGCTTCCTTCTGTTAGGGCAGTAGGATCCCCCATCTCAGGGAGAAGTTAGATGAGAGCTGAGCAATCCTGAAAGTCAATGTGCTGTTGAGAAGGACAGAGGTTCCCATCCCTGGATGTGGGGATGGGAACAACAACAGCAGCTCAAGGGAGCTCACTCAGCTTGTCAAGTCAAAGTGGACTTGCTAATGCAACAAAAAATGGCCAGTTCTCTCATATTCTCATGTTGGGCTTAGGTTTTCTCCAGGTTAGAGAGTTGATTCTACTCACAGTCATCAAGTGGGAATGATGCTGTAAATGCAAGTGAGAGAAGAGAGGTATGGGCAGGACACTCCTCTTTTGGCAGCAATGACCACTTCTGTGAGCTCAAACCACCTTGGGCAAGTTCATCCATAGTAGGTGAAATCCACTTCCTAAGATGATTTACCAGACAGAGTCTGGGTTTGGCAAGCTATGGGCCACAGTGAGTAGTGTGGTTATTTACAATGGCCTTTAAATAACCTTCTCAGCAGGCCTACAATTTATTAATTTATACTAATTGACTCAGATTGAGACTATTTTGTGGTAATTGGTTAATTGTTACAACACCCAGATGCAACAGCAGTGAACACTGTATAAAAATGATGCACAAGTCATTACTGATTCAGTGCCTGGCACGTCCTTGGCAAAATTTTTTTTTAGCATTATTGAGTTGGTTTGGGTTTTTAATAGTGTCAGGACATTAGCTGGGCTTTCAAGCAAACCAAACTTAAGTGTGTTTTAAAAATAAATGAATTCCTAAAAAAGCTCACTGTGGACAGTAACGAACACTGTAGTTGGAATAATCAAAAAGAATAGACCACGGTACTTCCACTATTGCAAATTCTCTCGAGATAGCCAGAATTCATATTAAACAGGTGAAAACTTCATATTAATTGGTGAGAATTGCTCCCAAAGAGTAAAAAAAGAAATTGTCACTTTTCCAACCATAACAATAACTTGCTCTCCCTATAAAAGTTTAATATGTGTTTTTTTTCCCCCCTGTTCTCTTTAGGCTTGGTGGAGGCCCAGATGATGCAAAAGAAATCATGCGTCATAGTTTCTTTGCTGGAGTAAACTGGCAAGATGTATATGATAAAAAGGTATGTTTTTATATGGCATTGAACAATCTGGCTTCTGCAAGGTGGTTTCAATGATAGTCACAGACTGCTGCTCCTCTGGAGTTAGTAATTTTTTTCTTTGCAACTTTTTTGTGTTACAAAATAACATACATATAAAATACAAACTAATAATTATTCTGAACAAGGTTTACTTACCGAATCTTTGTGTTTTCAGTAATAAATTGTCAGCTCACCAGAAGTAAATTTTGCAAACCAACCTAAATCTTTTATTATGTAAATGTCCAAATCTTTTCCTTTTCTTTTTCCTTTTCTTTTTCCTTTTCTTTTTCCTTTTCTTTTTCCTTTTCTTTTTCCTTTTCTTTTTCCTTCCTGGGCTTTCAAGAGAAAAATACATGTATGACTAAAGATAATGTGGAAAATGTAATATAGTTTATCCTGAATTATCATTTCATTTCTGCCTTTTAGTGAAAAGTTGTTTTATGAAAAAGGGAAATTAAGTGATTGTAAGGAACTCAGAGCAAAAATCTACTTTCTGATTGTTTGTGTATAAGCAGAAACTTTTTTCAAACTTAAAGAGATATCTAAGAAAATTCAAATAGTGTTAAAACACTGAGCCAAAACAGCTTGTGGAGAAAGCAATTCAAGTGGAACAGTTTTCTCCAAACCTAGGCCTGTTTCTGTAATGATCAACACTTCAGGAATGATTTTAGAAAATGAATTTATCTTGCTTGGGAGTGAAACTCAATTCAACTTAAGTTGTTTTATATACAGAAACTGATTTTATCTCAGTATTTCTGTAAGAGTTTACTTGTTGCTATAAACCCTTTCTATTTTGATAAAGACTTTTCTTTTTTCCCCAACTGTTTTACATTGTTAATCTGCCAGTTGAGCTGCGTAATTTTAAGATAGTTTTTTTCTCCTTTTTTTTTTTTTTTTTTGCTTTGTTCAAATAAAAGGAAAATGGAAGACATACGACTGAGCAGAATATGTTTATGCTACAATGTCAATGATACAAACTGTCTTTTCAGTTGTTGTTGAACTGGAATTTTAAAAATGTGTGGTTGTTGGTGTGGTAACTTCTCTGACAAATACCGGAATTGAAATAAAAGCCTGTATATGATGATACAAAATATGGTACTCTGAAATTACTTGATATAAGTGTGATTTTTCCCTGGCAGTACCACAAGGTTTCAAGAAACTACAATAAATAATCAGAGCAAGTATATTAATCAGGTTACTTTATGAGTTCAACCACTGGTTGGTTATGTAAGGACACTGTGGGAGAAGCACTGTGAGGATAAAATCTAAACATACAAGTTGAGGACCTTTCTAGAGTGAAAAAAAAGCCACAAAAATCAATAGGATTGCAGTGTGCTAGGAGTGGGTGAGGAAAAAAAAGCTGTTACATTTTCCTGCTCTCTTGAAAAACATTTCTTAATTATCTTACATTAGAAATAGAACTTTCAATTCTACACTGTATTCAGCATCTTATTTAGTTAAGAATATATAGGTACTCTTAATTGCTTGTGCTTTGATTCTTTCCAAATGAACATGGCAAATGTGTTACAGTCAAGGTATTTTTTAAGCTATTAAAATAAAAAGAGGGATTTTGCAGATTAAAAAAGAAATAGAATTATATAAAAATATATAAATGCTGGCACTTTGCTTTTATGCTTCTGGAAGTGGATATGGCTTATTTTGGAGTATTATGACTAGAGAAACTAGTCATTCTTTGTTTACTCTGGACACTGTTGCTTTGAGAAACTAAATTTGCCAATGGAATATCAACTGAATTTCCTCAGTTGAACAGTTCTCTTCAAGGATTGTAGGAATTGCTTTTGTGCAGTATTAGCACACAGTGTGTCCTTTATGGAAAAACAAGTCATGAAAATGACTTCTGACAGTGTGCTTTTCTGTTTAATTTAAAAGACTTTTGTTCCTATTTGTTCCTTACAAAGCTGTTTGCCTGGTTAAAATACCCAGTAGTTTCTTCTGCACACACAGTCTTACACTCTGCAGACTTCAGAGCTGTGCTCTGAAATATAATCCTCAAACATAATGATAAGGTTAATGAACTTTCATCAAGTATGTTCATTAGAATGCTTATATGAATATTTTTGAGGTATTTTGGTATTCTAAAATAATTCAGAGCATCAAATAAATTTGATTTCAAAACAGATTTATTCTATGCTTGCTTCTGTTGCTGTTTGTTGTTGGATGTAGAGTCTTCAGCAATAGGGTCACTTGATGAAGTTGATAGTGGATGTAATTATTTGCATAGTAAAAATATTTCACTGTAATTTTGCCTGAGATTTAAGCACCATGGCACTGTAGTTTTCTGGCTGCATTTAGGGAGCGTGTTTCTGTTAGAAATTAAAGAACTGAATTTCACTTTCAGAGTAATGGAAACCAAAAAATCATGTTTATTCTGAGTAGTTGCTGAGTGATAGTTTTGTACATGTGCACACCGTGCTCCTATGCCTCTAATTTTATCATTTTACTAGGTTACCGCTTTATTGGTGAGATTAGAAACAAAATTATATATCTTTAAACTATTTCATGTATTTCATGTGACAGACCACAGCTCTGTCAGGTCAAATGGATCCAAATGGGCAAATGGAATTATTAGGTTTCTGATACTGCTAACTAGTTAACCTAATTTGGTACTACATAATGATAAAAAAATATTGTATGGCACACTGGAGCAGAGAAGGTCGTTGCCTTTAAATGAAAAATGTATAGTAGTTAGCATTTGTGATCTGATGTATTTATTTTTGGCAGAAAAACCATGAGGGCATATGAAAGAGAGCAGCCTGTGCCAGGTTCTTCCTGTGATCATCTCAGCCCTGATGAGTTTTTATCTCTCTGCCTGAGTATGAGAAATTGAATAGTTTGGCAAACTCTGAAGACTTCAAAAGCCCACATACTAAATAAAATATTTGTTTTATTTTTAGGTAGAATCAGGAAGCTTTTTGAAATTTCTCTGTTTCTTGTGTAAGAAATGTTTTAGCATATTTTTATTTGGGTAGCAGACGTACACTAAAGTTGTCAGATGTTCTGTTCAGGGTCTTTCACGGAACAAAAAGCACATGGGCACTACTTAAAAGGTTGAAATTTGGGTATGTCTTCAGGCTTGCAGCTTGAAGCACTTGGTGTCCTCATGGCAAAGGAGAAGCAGACCTTTCAGCAAGGCCTGGTTCTCCCCCTGCATGTAATATGGATGAAAGATGAGAGAAACCATGTGGAAATTTGGGCTGAGATACATGTTCTGATTTGTGGTAATAGCTCTGCTTGTCCCTGAGGAAAATGAAGAAGTGCCAGCAAGTGAATCTGTTAGGGCTGGAATGGGAGCAGGGAGCAGTGGCAGCGATGGCTGAAGCAGGAGGTCTGGCTTTGGTGCTTTTGGAGGCACCTGTCCCACTGTGAAGGGAGTCACTTCCAGCTGTAGGTCTGACAGCTGCAAGGAGCTGTTCCTTACCCTTCAGCTGTGGCTGCCTTGGTTTACTCAAGACACGAACCAGCAAATGATGAAATCCCATGATCCAATTCCTGGTTTCAGGCCTGGCAAAATCTGCAGTATGACTATGATCTTAAATGCACATTTAAGTACTTCTGTGTATTGGATTTTGAAGGGAAAGGGTAAGAGGTGAATAGAAAAGTACCACCATTTGGTTTTAGGCTGCTGCTATTTGAATTATACTGTTTTCATACAATTATCTGCACTTCCACAAAACCTACAGAAATTACCCTCATTGGTTGTTTTTGTGTTGTTGCCATGCAAATTTGTAAAAAGATCAGACAACATCTAACCAATCTGATATTTCCATTCTGTTTCCACTATAAACTATATGAGCAGACCTAGATGTTGATTGCCACCCTTCTCCCCCCTGCTTGAATTTACAGGGAGGAAAGTATACATAAGTGTGTCTGATTCTTAAACTTACCTTGCTGGAGGTTTGTGGTTTCCCTCTGTCCAGGGTAACAGCATTGTATTACTTGGAAAACGATTTATCCATGGGTAAACCTCCCAGTTTTCCTGTGGACTTATGTCCTTCCACCCCTGAAATTCCAGCTCCTTCTCCTCCCCCTGCCTAGGACCACCACATGCAGGGTCCGTGGGGTATTCCCAATTTTTGGCTGTGCTGTGGCTGCTGGCTGTGCAGCAAGCTGCCTTTGGGGCCATGTATGGGGAGGAACCAGTCCCTACAGGAATGCTTATTGACCTTATTGGAGCTTATTGACCATCTTGAAGCTCAGCTCAAATTTCCCTCTTTCCCCCAGGTGGAAACTCTAGTTTGAGGGCCATGGACAGGTGTTCCTCCCATCTATCCAGCCCAATTCAGCTGCAATCTGTTGGTCGATGGGATTCTAATGGTAGTGGAATGGTCTGAAGTTGTGTCAGGGGAGGTTTAGGGTGCATGTAAGGAAAAGGTTCATCACCCAGAGAGTGGCTGGGCACTGGAACAGCTCCCCAGGGAAGTGGTCACAGCACCAGCCTGACAGAGTTCAAGAAGAATTTGGACAGCATGTTCAGGCATTTGGTGTGACTCTTGGGAATGGTGCAGTGCAGGGCTGGGACTTGTACATGATGATCTTTGTGGGTCCCTTCCAACTCAGCATATTCTGTCATTCTCTGAAAATTCCCTTTAAATTAAAAGGAGAAGAAAGATCAGATTGGTGTTCTTAAGCATCATACTTTTCATTTGGCAGATGGAGTGTATCATGGTCAATGGCTTCAGCCATTTCCTATACAACACCAAGACAAGTGATTTCTGGTAAATTATCCTTGAGCAAGTAGTGTTACATATTTTCTCTCATGCTGAAGGATTTGTGTAGTTGTTCACTAAGTGTGTGGAAGTTCAAGGTGTAGAATCAAGCCTGTACATCTCAGTGTACCTACTACAGTCAAATACTGTACTTAACCTCTTTCCTTCCTCTAGGAGTTGGGTGTCAAATTTTCCAGGACTTGGAACTATGGAAAAACTGTGGTGTTTCTCACCCACTGCTCTTGATGGATGCCAAATGGAAATGCCATTCACTGGAGATAATGAAGACACTAAGAATTTGATATTGCTTCTGCTGTCATTTCTGAAATCAAGCCTTTGAAATGGCCAGGGCAGATTCTGCTTGACAGATGGATATGAAATTGGATTTTTGTCTTGAACACAAACTCTTAAAGTCATTTAACTCACACAGAGTTTAGACTTTTATTTCTTTATTTGTACAGACACATGCATATCTATGCATATATGTGTGTGTAATGCATGAACCCAGAAAATCTGTATTTCTGCTCCATAGAGTAGATTGTCAGGAAGTGCAGTTCCCTGTCTGGTTGGAGCATTTTTCTGAACTGAGGCCACTACAGGAAGAAAATTATCCCATACTAAAGTTTGGCAGCCAGGACCAAGCAGTGCAATTCTCTTGCAGACTGACAAGGCCTGTGCTTAACAAAAGCTTATCTTACTCCTTTTGGACACAGGTTACTGGATGTGCCTTCTGGTGCTCACATCCCTCTTGAACTTCTGATTTCTCATGCCAGAAGTGAGGAATAGCTGTGGCAATAGCACGTGGATACTATTTCCTTGTGCACCAACTGTGAAATGTTGCTGGCTGTAGAGTGGCATCTTCGTGTTGTCATCATCAGAGCGGTTGTTGATGTTGGGTGTTTTAATCATTAAACCTCAGCTTCAGTCTCCCTTGGGATGTATGTGGAAGCCTCTGCAGCATTTGTACCTTATTTGTCTTTCTAATGGTTTCATTACAGCTGAAATTTGTGGACATTTTGCTTTCTGTTTTTAAATGAAGTTTGACAACTAATGGACAAAGGAGACACCCCTCCAGAAAGATAACTGCAAGAATTTACCTGGGGAAGGGGAGGTGTGCCTTTGGTGTCAGCTCAGGACTCTGGAATGGGATGTCCACAAGACTTTAGTTGTTGGTGTAGGTGAGGTAGAACAGATGGAAAGGAGCAATCCCCAGGTGTCTGTCCACACAGGTGTGTGAGAGGGGGAGGTGGTACTGTGAGGGAAGGAGGCAAAGTGTGTGGAAAGATTGGAGAAACCTTTCTGCTACTCCTGTTCAGCTGTATCTGTGCTTCTTAACTTCAGCTACTGCTTCCACTTTTCCAAAGATTTTAGGGGATGGTTGGTGTACCTAAGGGCACACCTAGATAAGAAACAGTGTGTGCTTTTGTGGGGAACCACACGGTTGGAGAGTTTGTTTTTGCAGTCAGTGAATTTCCCAAATGCCTTTAATGTCCAGGATATGAAAGATACTGCAGTAAGATAGATGAATCCTAAAACACCCTTGACATAAATTTGCATCGGGTCCCTCCCTTTTAGTTACAGCCTGGAGTTTCTTGTCTTCTACTTGTTTCACTTGCCCAGACAGCTGAACCTCTGTCATCGCTGCCATTTTCATCAGCTGACTTATTGGATGTTATTGATAAAGAGTTTTCTAGTAAGCCTGGCTGCTGAGCATTGAATCAGAGCACCAACTCAATGAGTTTTGTTTTAATGGTGCTTTTCATACCTGATTAAAATTATTGTAATTATTTGTTCCTTAAGTGTCACTTAGCACTGTGCTTCTCTTCCTAAAATAATGTTTTCAAAGTATTTTCCATAACCATTACTATTTCAGGTAGATGGAGAGAAGAAGGGGATGATTTAAAGTCATAGGGAGGCTTGTTCATCTCAGTGGATTAAAAAGAAAAAGTAACAAATCCCTGGATAAACCAGTAGTTAGCCTGTAAATTTTTGAGAAAGAAACTTGTCATCTAATGCATTTTCCTTTTCCTCTTCAGCAGCACATCCATACATTGCTGCCTATAATGATCTTACCTTTTGTGTTTCATTAACTACTTCAACCTGACTCACAGTTGTTGCAGACAGAGAAGTCAGGGTTTGCTCCTTCTCTTTGCAAAGCAGTTGTAGCATGAAAGGTCTCAGGTGTACTTCACAGCAAATGTGTGCTGTACCATTGAAAAGACATTGCTTTTTGTCCTTGACTTGAGAAAAAAGAAATTTTTCTCTAAGCTTGTATTTTCATTATTTTAAGATGAAAAGTTTTATTTTTGAATGAAATGGCATTTTCTGCTTCTGACCAGTATAAAGCATTCCAATCAGAGAAGTAGTAAAATTGTTATAAATTTAAGACAACAATAATGTAAGACAATAATAATTGTCTTACTAACTTTTTTTCATACTGAGTTTATTGCTGAGATCTGTGAGAGTGTCTTTTTAAAAGGATGTGATGGACACTTAGCCTTAACTGGAATACATTACTTGGCTTCTTGTAATCTCCTGTGGGCTGTTTTAGTTTGGTTTTTTGATTGTGGGTTTTTTTTGTTGTTGTTTTGTTTTTTGGAGGGTTTTCTGTTTTTTGGGGTTTTTTTTGCTGTGTTTTTTGGTTTGTGTTTTTGGGGCTTTTTGAGGTTATTTGAGTGTTCTTTTCTCAGATAGAAAAAAAAGAATAAAATGGCAATGTGGGATGTTGCACTGGAATAAGTCTGTTTTAGGAATTGTGTGGTTGCATTGCTGGCCGTATAATCTTGGAAATCTGCTTTAATAGTGCAGAATTTTTTAGGATAGCCTGGATGCATATAAAAATAATTTTCAAAAAGTGAAATAATCTGTGCAGTAAAATCGAGTAATTAGTTTATAAACATGGGAAATAATTTGATTTTTACCTGGAAGATTCTTCTGATGTTGTGTCTATATATGTTAGCTCCTTAAGCATTGATTCTACAATGCCCAGAACTTCTACTTCAAAAAACCTCTCTGCTATTGTATGCTTTCCATTCAGGACTATGTAAGGGAAAACAGTTTTGTGAAAGTAGTAATCAGATTTATTGTACTCTGTTATGTATATGAAGTGATAGATTTGATTTTACTTAATAATTGCTTGCACTGTTACTGAAGATGTGGGCCAGATGAAATCAGTCTCTTAGTATGTATAGATCATGTACATCTGTGCATCTAGTGCACAGAACTTGGGAAAAGGAGGGAGTTTAGCAGCACTTCCTTCTTCTTTGCTGTGGAGCAAATGACCAAGGAATTGTTTGGTGTCAGTGTTTTGGAGTTGAGGAGAGAGAGAACATGAAACTGGTGAAAACCCCATGCAAGGTGATAATACCAGTGAGCCAGGATATAACCTGTTGTATTGAAAGGAAAATCAATTACACTTATTCTCAGAGTGTGCTTTCCATTGAACATGAGGGGATGGCACCAAAGGCTCCTAGGTACAAACAAGAACATTGTCACAGCACACCCACACACACAATTTGCAATGTCATACATACAAAACTGCTCTGTATTGTTTTTGGACCGGCAGTGTGCAGTGTGGTATCCCACACTCAGTGTGTCTTCCAGTAAAAATTTATCAGCAGATCTTTTGGTGGAGAAGGTGGATAGTGAAGCTGGTTCAAAAGAGGGGCAAGGGAGTCCTGCCTGCAGGCTGTGAGTGGCTGCCAGTGATTTGCTGTTGGGAAATCCCACACTGTGCTGTGAAAGCAGTAGGCAGGTTTCGATACAGCAACTGCCTTAAGCCTGAGCTGGCCTTTTTTCAAATGTAACATTTATTTTCATATCACGTAATTTCTTTCAACGGTAAGTTCAGATGAAGGCCTTCCCACTGAAAAGAAAAACCCCAAACCATGCTTATTTATGCTCTCTGTGTAGTGTTTTTTTTTTTTTTCTTAGCTGTTTATACCACCCAGTTGTGGTGAAGTATCTTGAGATGCCTTTGCCTGACAGCTCTGCGGGTAATTAAATTGGCCTGAAGAGTTTCTAGGTAATTATCTTTATGCAGCTCAATTTATCTGCAAGTCATGTGAGAGTGATACTTGGAATTTAGCTTTGTTGTGCTATTGACTGGATCTGAACTGGTATTTTTTGGATTGACTCAAATGGGTTTCATCTCTTACTGGAAGTTAGAACTCAGCTGCCTCTCCACAGACCTACTTGTTTGATCTGGGGCACAGGGAAAAAGAACTTACTTGTTTTCCTGATAGTAATTTGGCTGCTTTGAGATTTAGTAATTTTTTTGTTTGTTTTTTGTTTCTTGGTGCCTTTCAGCTTGTACCTCCTTTTAAACCTCAAGTGACATCTGAGACGGACACCAGGTATTTTGATGAAGAATTTACAGCTCAGACTATTACAATAACACCGCCTGAAAAATGTAAGTCAGAAATTATGCACAAGCATGATGTAACAATAATGTTTATAATAAAGCAGTGTGTAAGGTTTTTTTTCTGTTTGAATAGAAAAGCTGTTCTCACTGTTACTAATAAAAGTCTTCGTATGGAAGTGTGTAAGAGGAACTCTCAGTGACAGCTTTATTTTTAATGCAATAATTGCAAAGCTTAGAATATTAGATCACTCTGGGTTGGGTTTTGGAGGCATTTTTGGTGTGAGCTTTTTTGTGTTGATTTTGTTTGGAGTTTTTTCATTTGTTTGTTGATTTGGGGTTTTGTTTGTTTGTTTTCAAATAAGAGAAGACACCAGCTTCAAGTGTTTGCTGGTCAGCAGTCAAGGTCCCAGTTCAGCAAAGTAATTGGAACACAGACCCTTCTTTAGGCATGTGGACAGTGCTGCTGGCACAATGGGCTGTGTAGCTTCAGGAAGATGGGCATATTTTGATAATACTTTGAAGATAATAGTTTGAAAAAAAAAAATCAATTACTTGAAAATTAAATTTCCTATTAAGTCCCATGCATCAGCAGGGCTCTTAAAGAAGCCCTGCTAAAGAAGCTTCTTAAAGAAGGTGTTAATGTGGTTGTAACCATGGCACTGGACCTTACACAACTTTATTGGAGTGAATGTGGTTTCACCATAGTTTGTGTTTTTGTCACACTGTGTTACACACAAGAATCATGATCTGATCAGCCTAGCCAGGGCTCTACAGTTACTTACCAAACCAGAGCAGTTAAAATCTTACTCCTGAGTTCTTAAAGAATTTTCTTTCTAAATAAGGATATTTGAGAGGTTTTTTTGTTTCTTTATGTTGGAGGCTGAGAAAGGAGGATCACAAAAGTAGACAATAAAGGCTTAGTTATGGTTGCTTACCCTTTCATAAAGCAAGCTCATTTTCTGATCTTTTAGGACTCCCAGGTTAGCTGCAGTTTTCTGTTCATACATAGATCCAGAGTATTTTCTGGATTTTGCATTTTTGCTGTTTGAACACAATCATAGAAATATAGTGGTTTGGATTGGAAGGGACCTTAAAGTTCATCTGGTTCCAATCCCCCTGCTTTGGGCAGGGACACCTTCCACTAGAGCATGTTGCTCAAAGTCCATAATTTAAGTAATTTTAAGTTTTTCTGCTGTGAAAAAAAGAATCGTTTCTTCTATCTTGATAAGAATTTGTTAATCTTTGTAACTTGAAGAAATTTTACTAAAATTTGGATTAACTTGGGTTCTGTTGATTTGATATTAGACCAGGATTAACTCTAGTTTTTATGTGTACAATATATGAAGATACAAAAGACACAAAATTCTGAAAGGCTGCGTATAAATACACTGTTAGAATAACAGTCTGAGCAGGAGTCTTTAAGAATAAGCACTATTAAAAAGCCATGTGAGATTGTACATCCAAATTCTCAGAGTTAGGTAACATCTGGTCCCTGCTTTCCATTGGCACTGGAGGAATTATGTAAATAAAAATATTTATGAATTTGGCTTATTCCGTATTTCTTCTGATCCCAGTAAATACTGTAAAAATAAGTAGTTTACTGAAAATAATACTTAAGAATTGAAACACATAGAACCTGTATGAATTGTTCATTTTGTAGCTGTTTTTCCTTTTAACTCCCTTTGAAATGGAGGAATATTTAAATATATCTACAGTAAGACTATAATTTCCTGAGCTCAGCTCAAGAAATGATGGAAACTGGCTGCCTCAATTGGCAATAGGCTTCTGTGCTGCCACAGGCTGGGCATGCTGGCATGTTTGGCTTAGCCTAGAAGGGGTAGTTGTGATTGAAGTTCTCAAGTGATATTCAGAATAAAATGAACCAAACAATCAACCTGAAATAAATAGTGACTTTTGGGCACGCTGTCCTTTCAGTGAGTATCGTCCTGCTGTGTGAGCATGAGCTTATGTGCTTAAATGAAGTCTTTAACTTGAGCCTTTAACCTCAGCAATGAACCCTGAAAGATGTACTGCATATCAGGTGAATAATAAAATTTTATTGTAAATATACTGATGTTTTGTACTTCTTCCTTAACACAGATGACGAGGATGGTATGGACTGCATGGACAATGAGAGGCGGCCGCATTTCCCCCAGTTTTCCTACTCTGCAAGTGGACGAGAATAACTTTTTTGTTCTGCTGCTTCACTGTCATCTTAGGTTTATCAGTGAAAATGATTCCTGAACATCACCACCAGTACTAGATACTACTATGATAGCAGGGGCACTTTCAGAGACCATTCCAAATTGAACAAGTTTCTTTCCCAAACCTACCTAAAATCCGTTCTGGTTTTGCATGACGTATGAGATTCTCTCTACTCCGCTCTCCTGCTGTTGCTGCCGCCCACAGTCTCAGTATAATAGCAACGTCGAGAAGTTACTAACAGTTTGTTTGAAGGTAGATGACTTGACTTCAGCATTGTACACTTTGTGAACAAGTAGTCATCTATTTTTCCTCGCAGTGGAGGCTAAACAAAAGCCGTGTTGGTCCAGCTTATCTTCTTCTAGAAGAAGAATCAAAATTGTAATTAGTCTAAACAGACTAGGCGATAACATTTTCTTGCATCTGTTTGTGCTGGTTAGAATGAGGAAACCTAGAGGTGGTGATGTACATATGCAAGGTTTCTGTTAGGCATATCATTACTTGAAGCAGGTCTCTGTCATTAACATCTGGCTGGAATTTGTTTGGGAAATGTTTGAGAGAAGGACTTAAACTGTTGATATATATAAATATATATATATATTATTTTTTAATTACTGTTGGATACTACAGAAGAAGCAGAAGGGCTGGGCTCATCCAGCCTGTCACTTAGAACTTCCAGGTTCATGTGCAATCACGGAGAATCGAACATTATACATGCAAGAAATGAAGGCATAAAAGCAGCAGTTGAAGTTGTTCAAGGGGTTTTATAATTTGCACCAGATAACATCTTTTTCATGCTTTTCTCTTTCATGATATGCATCACCTCTGATGGCTGAAGAATGTAGACAGGCATAATGGTATTGCTTTTCACCAAAATGTGTGCACCAAGGTAAACAGGTGTTTGCCTTACTTGTTTTTATTTTGAGTTTGTGAATTAGCTTCCTCTCCAGGTGTTTAACTCCGAATATTCTTTTTTTTTTCTTTTTTTTGTTATACTGCGGTAGTATTTATTTTTAGAGATAAGGTTTGTATGTGTCATGTTTGCAAATGCTGCTACATCTTAGAACAGGCTTATAGCAGTTAATTTTGTAATATATGGAAGGACTGTACAAGCTGAAGGGAATAATGCACTTTTCTCCCATGTGGAAATTTTAACAAGGCTCTGAAATTGTACATACTGCTTAGAACCAGATTTTTGTGAATGAAATACTGTCTTTTAACAGTTTGGCAGTGGAGGTGGGGATTTCCAACCTCACGTGCCAAAGGGTTAAAAGTGAACAGACAAAAAAGCTACGTCTTGTGCTCCATTTAGGATAAACATAATGTAAGAGCCTGACAGCACAAGAGAAAATGTCTGTTCTATATGAAGGAATTGCATTTGAACAACGAGACCACAGTGATTACAAGAAAAGCACTTTATTTTAACAATTAAAATAGTAAATTTCTGGGATCAGCCGTTCTCAAGGAAGATTTGCCCTCAACCAAAAGAGTCCCGAAACCCAGCAGGTTATGTGTAACCATGGTACCTGATTGACTGAATTTCCAACATCACAACGAACGCTCCACTGATAGGGAAACATCTTTCCATTTCCGAAGATCTGTATCTAACAGAACATGTGCATAAACTTTAGCTTTGATCTTCAGCAATGATAATCTTAATAATAAACCCTTTGGTGCTAGGAGTTGGGGCGTGACGCGGCGCAGCGACAGCGCGCGCCCTTGCAGGCGACATCGGGAACCCCCGACTCCGTGGGATTATCATTGGAAGTATCTCTGCGTTCAGCTCTTGTTAGCTCCCACAAAGACTGTGACATTGCAGAGTATTCCTGGTTGCGTTGTGTGAGTGAGTAGATGAGTCTGAGAGGAGAGATGTTCCTACACAGATGCCTTAGCCTCTTGATGTGGAAAGCTGAGTGCCCAAGCATGAAGCCCACTGCTGGCAGTGCATGTGCTGGGATGGTCAAGGGGTAGATGGGCATTTTAGCAAGGCAGCTAAAGACGCAGAGTAATTTAGACAATTTTTCATGTTTCGTGTTTTATCTTTGGTAATGGATGGATAATCAGATAGAAATATATCATGATGTATATTCTAACTGCATAGGATTTCATTATGTCACCCTGTAACACTAAGGACGTGTAGATGTTGTCCCTGTGCAGAGAGAGAGGAGAGCAGCAAATGCGTTGCAGGTCTGTCCTGGACTGGTGGTGTAGAGGTGTCTGCTCTGACACAGTGAGCGAGTCACTGAAATAACCAAGTACTTAACAGACGGGCATTAATTAGTTCTCTGCAAAGGTCTTGTACTCACGGACTGAAACTATGGTGATTCAAAATCTGTGTTACATGCCTGTGTTTTCTCCCCTATGTTTTCAGCTTGTGATAGCAATAAGTTTCTTGGCACAGGGCACCTCCAGCCAGTGGCTGTGGCTCTGGCCAGTGGCTCCTCGTGGCAGTGATGCCCTGTGTTTTGCTTTCCGTTGCGTAGCCAGGTAGTGCACGGTTTGCAGGAAGGGCCTGGCAGTGAACTCTCTGAAAACCTTTTAAGACATCACTTTGCATTGCATTGTCTGCCTTCTGAAACATCGGTGATCCAGTTTATGAGGCAGAGAGCCAGCAGCCACCTTGTGCTGCCCAGGCCTGGGGGATTCTGTCTTACCAGTGTTAGAAACAGATGACAGAGAAATGGACAAGCAGTGCTGAAAGAAACTTTTGAAGCTCTTCTTTTGCTGTTCTGCAGTTGTAGTTGGATTTGGACAGGAGGTGGTGGCTGGTTGTCTTGGTGAGCCTTTCGAGCACAGTACATTTCAGACCTTGACTCCAGCTTGTACTGACTTCCATGACATACAGTATGCCCTCTTGTACTGCAGCCATCTCGGAGGAAATAGGTCATTTCTGTTTGGATTTTGGCAGTTTTGCACACAGCTTCGCTTTCCACACTAATCCATCTTCCAGTACATTCCTGTTGCTTAAAGAACATTTATTCCAGTATTGCTTTACCTTTTTTTTCCATCTTTACTTGCGGCTTCTTAAAGCTGACTGTTCTTGCAGGGGCCATGTGCTTCTCCTAGAGTACAAAAGTAAGGTCTTTCCTTACTAACTGCAGGGTCTATATATTACACCTCAATGTACACACTTTGCTGCTACTGTTTGTACTGTCTACAGTAGAATTTCCTTATCTTGCTCCTGGTAGTGCATTACAGGCAAGCATGAAATGTAAAGTATTTATTTAAATAAAAACCTCTAAATTGGTAATTGAATTACCTCCCTGTAGCTTTAGAGTTTGTGACATTTCTTGACCTTGCTAGTTCTTTCATTAGATCCATGCAAGATCTAGTCATATGGTTAAGGATATTAAGCAGACACGACTACGAACCCAAGAAACCGTATTACTGTTGGTCATACTTAAACTGTTTATTTCCTTAAGTATATGACCCACAAGGATGTGAAATAACTACAAGAAACTGTTTTTGTACACTGTACATCCTTAGTATTTTTACACGTATATGATAGGGATGCACATTATTTTCCTTCGTACAGACAGCTTAAATAAAGCACTATGTCAATCTGCTACTTCTGTGTTTTTTAATGCTAATTTGTTCTGGAGGATTGTAAATATATATATATATATATGTTCAAGCTTGCCACAGAGGACGTATTTTTTTATATCTGCACATTACTATTAAATATCTTAGAGGATAAAATTCTTAAGTTGTTCTGTGTCAGAGAAAGAAAAATGGAAATGAGAAGGCTATATTGCAGATTACAAAAGATTTCTCAAGTTTTGGGTTAAATATTTACTTCATATTTTAAAGTAATTTTATATAGGTTAGATGTTTCAATCCTGAAATGCACAAAGAATTTACTTAATTTCTTCTTACAAGAAAATGTACATCATTATTTTTTTATCACTGTATATATAATGATCTGTGCATGTTTAGTTACAAGTTTTATTTGCTGTGAAGTCCTAGTGATAACTGTAACTGGCTGTGACATATTTCAGATACTGGGTGAACAGTTTCAGCTTGTAAATGATTAAGTTACAGTATTGTCAAAAAAAAAAGTTTTTATGACTAAGCAAAATGTATCTGTGCTTTGGACCGAGGCTGTTTCCATACAGGTGGTTCCTGTTAACTCTATGAGATGTATGTCACTTATAAATTTGGGCTATACTTTTGAAGATATGCTCCTATCAGAACATCCACCATTTAAGTGATTTTTAGCTGATGAAATTCTTGGCCTCATATCCCGCTAGTTGACGTTTGGGCAAGGAGAGGGAAAAAAAGGAAGGTGGGATTTGCAGGGCACTGCAGAATGGGACTCTTTGAAGCCCACAGGCTGGTCCAGGGCTGTTTGAACCAGCCTATCTGGAGGGCTGAGTGTCCCTAAAGCAGTGGGTCATCCAGGTTTTCTGACGGGTTTTCTGTTCTCTGACGTGAATGCTTCTCAGGAATAGAGGTGCTTCATCCAGGTCTCAGGATTTTTCTTTTTTTTTTCCCTCCTTTTTTTTCCTCCTCCACCTTGTAGTAGGAATGAGCATCAGGGAGACAGCCATCCATTAATTCAGTGATATCAGGATGTCAGTGACCAGGACAAAACTGCAGCAGTGACAGGACTATCTGGTCAGGCTCCATCCCTGTTGTGGAATCATGCTCTGTGTGTTGACCTGGATTTGATCATTGGGTCTGATACCTGTACATTTTGTGAAACCAAGTGCTTAAGTAGAAGCAGGGGAAGGTGGGGAGAGATATGAGACAGGTAGGCCTGATGCTGTAATGACTTATTAATTGCTACAAAGTACCTGCTGCAGCAGAAGTTATTCCTTGTAGACTCCCAGCAACACAATAGTTGCACCTATGCCCGGGATGAATATGAAAAACCTACTTCAAGCTATATATACTGGCAGCCCAGGACCCTTTGTTGAAATCAGACTCGTACATGCACGTGGGTGGCTGGCACTGGGGCCCTGCATGTGGCCACCAGAAGCCACCTGGTAGGTGAGGCAAGTCCAGAAAGGTTGAGGGTCCCACTGTGCTCCAGGGTCTCAGTGAAGCCTAAGTGTCAGGAATAGGTGCCCGAGTTCCTTTGCACACATAGCCTAGAGGCACTGTCTCCTATTTAAATACAAATTTATGCTGTGGAATAATAAAAAATAAAGTTTGCATTTTCCTACATTTATAAATGTATATTCTTAACTGTGTAACCATCTATAAAGTAGTGACACTTAAAAAGCTGTCAGCCTGATTACTGTGAAAAATCCCGAGTTGGACTAGAGAGGGCTTTCCTTCAGCAGCCTTTCTTCTTCCCAAAGACCTGAGGCCTTTCTCAGCACGCTCAGTGTCACATCCGCGAAGCTGTTCAGGGAGGTGATCAGATGTGTTTGGCAGTTTTATATGGCAGGAAATTGAAATAGGGAGGAAAAATCACTTTGATGTTAGGGCTGTACCACTAATAATTCTTAAAATATAAGGGAAGGAAGGATTGTGTTCCACACCCAATGGTAATTTATTGCATGTGTTGTTACTCTTATTTTTGTTACGTTTTCTGTGTTCATGCTGGCTGAAGTAGCTTTATTGCTGGGGAACTGTTCTTTGCGTTTTTTTCACCCCCTTTACCAACTACATTGAAAAAAAATAGATGTAGAGACTTTTCTCTTGTGTGTGTAGCTTATCCTACACTAGATAGCAAAATATTCAGATAAATTCTTTCTTAAACAGTTGGATATTTGAAAAGTAACCTTGAAAAACATGAGTGCATATTTAACCAGAAAAAAAGCCCTCCACCTGTACCCTCCAAATGTTTTGAGTTCAATAATTTGAAGCCAAGTTTAGATGGTGCCCTGAATATGTGCTGGTGGAAAAGTCCAGTTTCACCACTTCAGCATGGAGCCCAGCACCTCTTGTAATGGCTCCTCTGTAATAATCAAGGGCTCCTTTCTCTTAAAGGCCTTTTCAGTGAATATTTTAAAGGGGAACTTGATCCATGGAAATTCCTCCACATTAGGTGGAATATTTCTCAATCGTCTTACACTCTTCTGATTAGTAAGTAGTTGTCAGGGCTCTCACTTTTTATATAGAAGTGACAAATATACTATTGAATAAAGCTCCCAGTATATTCTGGTACTGAGTTTGTAAAAAGGAGGGCAGTGTACATGTGCAGCACTTACAAACAGTCCCCTTCTCCCTCCTCCCCCTGCACATGCTTTCCCTTGAATTCAGAAGGACAGAACAAGGAACCTAGAGATCCTATTAGGTTTATTGATATTTCCATCTGTAAATAATATAGACATGTATGTTCAATTATGAAAATAGATAAAAACATTTTATAAAAATTGTAAAAATTATTGACATCCACACCACGTAATAGCTGTTAAAACTGGCTTGCAAGCCTGGTCTTTTCAGAAAAGTCTCAGCTGTCATCCTAGAAAGTTTGGTAGGCTGGTAAGGCTTCAAAATATTTGTGATTCTGTAGTTAAAACCAAATAGAAACCAGCTGAAATTAGCTAGCAAATGTGCCTGTTTTCTGCAGAGATGTCTTCGGGTGAGCCTCAGACAAGTTTCAGCCAGGTGCAGAGCAGACCTGAAAGATAAAAGGAAGAGATGGGTAGTCTGTATGGCAGTGCCTGTGTTTCTCATTTGTGTCACGTCAGCCTGCAGGCAAGTTCTTAGAAGAGAAATAAAAACTGGTTAAGACTGCAGTAAGGCAGAGTAAACATGTACAGTTTCAAAGCTTGCACTTCCTGTGGGCCTGCTGTCCTCACCTCTTTCTAAGCTCAGAAGTCATACAGGTAGCAAGAACAAGAGATATCTGATTTCTGAAAAACAGGATCTCCATGAGCTTTTGACATGGCTCCTGTTTAGCAGTAAATAAGTGAGCTCTTGTTTTGGGGCACGTCTAAGATCCTGCCCCTTCTCCCTTCCAAGAAGAAGATGGCAGGGTTTTGCCAGAGGGTGTTTACTATGCAGTTCAGTGTGTGTCTGGGGTGGGCAGCTGTAGCAAAACAGGAAACTGTTGCCTTGGTGCCGGTAGGAAACCTCTGGTGGGAAAGGCTAATTCGCAGTTTTGAAGCTCTTGCATAGCTGTTGTTTGTGCTTCCTTGGTAGCACTTAAGGACTGAATTGAGCAAGACATCAAACTATTGGAGCTGGGGGAGCTACCTCGAATTAAGCCACTGCAGTGCTAAAAATTGAATTTAAGAGATGTACATGACCTCAGAAATAAAAATAAACTTTCTACTTTGGCTGGTTTTGCATTAGAAGACTGAAGGGTTTTGTTTTCTTTTTCCTCCCTCCCTTGGTTGGTTAGGCTGAATTAAAGAACATTCATGAAGCTGCAGTTCATTAAATAATTAAAAACAGTAACACGGTATGTTTTCCCCCCCAAAATACATGCACCAACACCAACTGCTACAGTGTGTCTGTGACCAGTGCAAGGAACTATGGCAAGGGAAAGCCTTAGTGCTCAAATTCCATGAGTGCCTGGGTAGTGACAACCAGAGGAAACCTACTCTGTGCTGCAGTGGCCCTCAGCATTAGAGTAGGGGCAGAAGCTTAAAAGGACCACAAACACCCAGCTCCTGAAGAAGGCTCCTGGAAATTTCTGTTGTGGGTGTCTTTCCACACCACAGTTACCCAGTGTTAATGCTTTGTGAGATGAAGAACCTCGGCTTGATTGACGAAGTGGGCAAATCTCCTCCTGACTCCAGCCTGGCCTGAACCTCTTCACATAGCAAGCACCAATCCTGTCAGAGTCTCTGTACCCCACTGTCCAAGGGCCCAGGTGTTAAAGCTGTCATTTAAGGTGTGCTGTTCTCTAACACAATGGGCACAACTGTCACTGTGACATTCAGGCAATTGGTAAACTAGTTGGTTGCTGGACAGTCAGGGGTAGGAGCCTTTCCAGTCTTAGTTTCTCCTCCTCCCAACAATATTTTGGTTTTCAGTGCACAGAACTCTGCAGCACACTGCCCAGGTTCCTCTGGACACTCCCTCCTTACCTCAGTGGCATCTGCTTTAATGGGGTGGTTGGGTATTAGATATACAAGTTGGAAGGGTCTGCAGGAGTAGAACTGCAGATGCCTGACTGGTTATTTTATTGCTGCCAGCTGTCCTGGGAGGAGGGTAGAGCAACTGACTTCCTGTCTGATTAGAAAGCACTCAGGTGGCTTCAGTGCCTCAATCCTCCATTGCATGGCTGTTAAACCCAAGGTGGAACTCTCAGGAGGGCCAGGCTCATCTCCTCAGCTGGTGCCCAGCTTTGTCCAGTAGCCAGACACTGGATGGGATGTACAGGACTCACAAACACTGAATACTTGAAGCCTCATGTCAGGGCAGTCAGACATCAAACAGAGGTCTATCTTTATCCCTATCTTCCTGTCATTGTTTAACTTGCATCACTTCTGATTAAACTCCATCCAAGCAGAAGTGAAGAGTTTCATCTGCTTAAAAAACCCCACAACAACATCCACCAACCCTCATCTGTGGACTGTCACTGGCAGAGGCACCATCTTTGTGCATTAAGACTACACTAAAACAAAAGCTCTCTCCTAATAACCAAAGCAATCTTCAGGTCTCCTGGGGTTCATGGCCATGTAAGGATCAGTTTGAATCACTTTTGACAGCTGAGATGGATGACCTACCTGCTTGCTGGAAATAAGGCTCCCTCTTCTGTAATACATAATAAAAATAAAAAGCAAACAGGGCACTTGGGAGCACTGCTGCATTAACTGCTGGGACCTCACTGAAAATTCGTGCTGACACAAGAAAGGAAAGAAAACCCCTACTCCAGAACAGCTGTAATTCTGACAGTGCCTCCTGCTGAGCAACTGGGGCAAGGATGGGAACACAGGCACGGGTGAGTGTACTTTAACTTCCTTTGGAAGAAGGGTGATCAGCTCACAGACACGCTCACTGTGACAAAGACATCTGCAAGGAGGGAGGAGAGAGCTTTAGTGGCTCAGCCTTACGGAGAGCACAGGGACAGTGTGGGTTCCTGGCCAGGGAGGGGCTGGCTTGCAGGAGGAGATCTTCATGGGGAAGTCAGAGCAGCAGCACAGGATGACAGCCCTTGCTGGAAGTAATCCTCAAGGTCCAAATCCTACCCGTCTGTGCTCTCGCTGGCTCAGCTGGCCAGCAACCCCTTCTGGCAGCCGGGGTCTGTGAGGGGATTATCCACCAGGAC